AATAAAGTATAAAACTTCATCTCTCAAGGAACTATAAAAAATTAGTATCTTCACAAGATGGGAAACTATTCCTTTCCCCATGCTTACTTAATATTAAATTTTTAAAAAATTGCATTTTCATTATTTACTTATTACTGTTTATTCTATTTTTCAGTCAACATTTTTGGTACTCTGAGGTTTTCTGTCATAGTGTAATGGATTTATGATAAATATCATAGTAAACCAAAAACATTTAAATATTTTAGAAGGAGGCACGATTATTTTTTACTGAACAGTTAGAGAATTTCATTGGCATGTTTTCAAAAGTAAATGTTTATCTTTTTTCTCATTTGTTTCTCTTTGAATTTACTCACAAGTTTTAAAAATCAAAGTTTGACCTTGTAGTCAGTTCTCTAACTTTTTGATTGAATTGACCTCTGTATGACACCTGAGCCTGACCATTTGAATCCCCTCTGGTATTTACCATCTGCTCTATAAGACTGCATTGATGCCCCTTATTTTACAATAGTCAACATGGATACATTAATTAAAAATCCTTAAAGTAGATTATCTTCAAATGAAAAAATGAATGTAATAAAAGTCAGCCAACAAATTTTATTAAGTAAACATTGTGTTAGAAGCACTATGAAAAATTACAAAGAGGCTAAACTCTTATCATTATCTTCAGGAAATTGAAAACCTGAAGAGTTTAGACATTTATTTTTTTAGGTGTAACTATAAAGGAAAGTGTCTCCACAAGCCACCTGCCAAATTGATCCCCATAGTCGTTAAGAGCAGAAAATGTATATACTAATTATTTGCTTTTAACATTTGAATACCCCTGTATTATACTTTTTGTCCGGTATTTGCTTTTAAGGTTGTATTTAAAGTGATGAAAGTTACAGAAAACAGTCATTATTCTTAAGATCAAATGAAACCCCGCATTGCAGTCTGTCTGCTCATCCATAATTCAGGATCCCAGCCTCAAACACGAGGCTCAGACAAGCACAAATATTGGCAAAGGTGAAATACTGAATGACTACAGTAGCAGCTAAATGATGTAGCAATCTGTGTGTGCACTTCAATCATCTTGCACTAGAAATAAAAATTAAAAGCATAAAACAGCCAAATATTATGGTGATAAACTAAATAAACAAGAGAGGAAAGCCAAGTTGCAACTATTCAAAGCTACATGCTTTTTATTAGTTATGCATGGATCTGATATGGTAATAAAACCCAAGGTGTGGAAAGGCATTTGTTCCTCCGATTATCTATCCAGGCCCCCAAAAATGGGGGCAGAGGGGAGGGTGCAAATTCTAGAAGAATGCTCTTACAGATTTGAACTTTGAAAATAGCGACTCTAGTTCTATTTAGGTTAATAGAAAAGTATTTTTCCTCAAAAAAATGTCTTCATGTGTCTTAATTATCTGGGCAATATTGCCCACCCTCCATTTATAAGGAACTTGGTCACTAACCACCCTTGACAGAAGCCAGGTCTTCTCTGTCCGGGACATTGACTCTTTCTTGGGCTTAAATCATCAGTGAGCCACACAGGGAGAGCTGAATACAGGAGGGGACATGTCCCTCACCAGCTAAGTCAGCAGGATTCACCCAGCAGATCAATAGGTGAGCAGACAGATCTGCAGGCCCCTTCACTTCCAAGGTTCATTTTGTTTCCACTGATGTAGGCCAGGTTAGATGTGGCCCCAAGACCTTACATTTTATAACCATTAATAACATATCCTATATAATAAAGAGGTAATATGCAAATTGACCATCACGACCCTACGCAAGATGGCCGCTCCCATGTGGGCCCAAGATGGCCACCATAAGATGGCTGGCAGGGGAGGGCAGCTGTGGGCAACCAGGCCAGCAAGGGGGGGGGTCATTTGGGGGCAATTGGGCTGGCAGGGAAGCAGGTAGGTGTCGATCAGGCTGGCAGGGGGAGTGGTTAGGGGGTGATCAGGCTGGCTGGCAGAAGTGGTTAGAGGCAATCAGGCAGGCAGGCAGGTGAGTGGTTGGGAGCCAGCAGTCCTGGATTGTGAGAGGGATGTCCAAGTGCTGGTTTAGGCCTAATCCCTGTGGGATTGGGGCCTAAATCGGCAGTCTGAAATTCCCCAAGGGGTCCCAGATTGGAGAGGGTGCAGGCTGGGCTGAGGGACAACCCCCCTCCCAGTTCACAAATTTCATGCACCAGGCCTCTAGTATATAGATATGTGCATATATATATATATATGATATATATACATATGAAGTAGTTGATGCTAAGAGCTAATGAAAATTGTCTAGTACTCAGAAATATCATCTCTTTCTAAACTATAAGGCTTATTGCTCTAAATTTATCAGGTACCCTTATGACATGTTGTAATGTTTTCTTTGACTAGAAAGAAAAAATATATATATATAAAGTATAGTCATCTCACTATGTAATAAAATTACTAGTTTTATACAGCACAGAATATATAAAACCATTATAATTCCTCTCCAAATCTGAGAAAATTGCAACAAATGATCAGACCTTTGCCTTCTCATGCAATTTTCTTTCATGGCTATTGCAACAGTTCACCACATCACAGTATTTATAGTTTTCAAAGCACCTTCATCTATCATCTCACTGAGCTTGACAACAATCCCAAGAGGGCCAGTCCACATTTTGCTAGTGGGGTCCCTAAGTGCATAGACGTTAAATAGGACATCCACTGTCACAGGTGAAGGATTCGGGGGGCTCCAATGCTTTCCCCCATTCCACACACATCTCAAGAAAAACCACTTATATATCCACCACAAAAAAATTTTTAATTTTTCAACCCAGTAATCTCACTTCTAGGAATATGTCCCAAGAAACCAGAAATAACAATCAGAAAGGATATGTGCACCCCTATGTTCATAGCACCACAATTTACAATAGCTAAGATTTGGAAACAGCCTAAGTGCCCATCAGAAGATGAATGGATTGAGCAGGGGAGGAGAGGGAGAGAGATAAACCAAAGGACTTGTATGCATGCATATGAGCATAACTCATGGACACAGTCAGTAGCGGGGAGGGGCATCTGCTGGGGGCGGGGGCGGTGGAATGAACAGGGAGAAGTCAATGGGGGAAAAAGGATTCATATGTAATACTTTAAACAATAAAGAATTAAAAACAATAAATTACATTCAAACATTTTAAAAAATATATTAAAAAAAAAACCACACTAAACATCAGTACTCTTCTCTCTCCTCTTACCCCCAACCATAATCTTAAAAGAATTGTCATTCAAACCAAAATAAGAATAAAACGTCTGTAGGATCATAAGCCAATTCTGAATTATTTTCAAATTTACTTTTTATAATTTCCATTTATTTCCAATCGCATCCAGAGAATTTCCCCACTTAATGCACTCAAAGGAAAATCTGCTTTATTAGCTAATTACCTCCCCCCATAGTTTGTAAGAGACCTGTAAGTTTCCATTACTTCGAAGATGAGGTCACTGCGACACCAAATGCATGGAATGGTTCAGTAATGAACACCCAGGAAAGCAGCCAAGACAAGACAGAGCCATGGAACTCCACAGTCAGTATTGGAGTTCTGAATGCAAGAGGCAGCCAGTCAATGATCGGCTGTGACATACAACTTACACTGGACATACACTTTCACTGGAGATCCCTGGCACCGGGCAGACCCAGTCAGAGGTCTGTTCAGACTAGCGAGGAAGTCGATGACCACACACTCAACAGAGATCTGTTCTTTTACCCGGCCAGGCTCTTTCTGGCATTTCAAGTGGCATCTTACAACAATAAATGCGAAATAAGCACCACTCGCGCCGAAGCATCAAAACTCTGTCCGGGCAGATAAAAATGATTGGGGATCACGTGACGAGGGGAGCTCCTAATTAGTGGTTTCTGGTCAGGTGGGGAAACTCCCACTTTCACTCAGGACCTGATTTTCTAAAGCTGGGAGCATGTTCCGGGCCATAAATCGGGTGGGGAAACTCCCACTTTCACTCAGTGGGAGTTTCCCACTTTTCTAAAGCTGGGAGCATGTTCCGGGCCATAAATATCCAGACGTAAGCATTTAGTCTGTATTTGAAAGGTCAAGCGTGCCTAACTGAAAATTATTGCTGTGCACATCAAGTCCACTGCAAGCCAGGGAAGTGGAGTTATGACAGATTAATATGATGCCCAAGGTGCGAAGCCACACTGATCACTTGCTGGAGATTCTAGAAAACCAGAAGGCCAGCCTATAACATTATTGGACAAAGACTAGAGCAAATCCCTGCTAACGCTGGATATTTTTTTATCCTAAGAAGGTGCATTTGAAGCCTGGGAGAGGCAGAATGGGAATTGTATAGGGAAGCAGTCTTATATCTAGAGATGATGATGATTTTTATGGCTCAAGCAGTATACATGTTGAAAGAAAATTCACAAATAGGAATCGTTTATGAGCTGCCATAACCTTTGACTGTTGATTCCCTTGCAAAGAGCACCTTGCTCTTAGAGGAACAACACAGGTGGGAGCGGTTCCAGTCCACAGGCTGCCACTAACCACTGATCTATCTCAGCACCCCTTTGGGCCTCTTTGGCCCATTTTTCTTAGAGACTTTCTGTGAATCTAAGGGCTTTCCTGCTGGGATAAGTAAGCCACTGGTTTACTTATCAGACAATAGCATCTAGTTACTTGTTACCACTGTCACGACACCTCATGGGGCGCTGTCACGGAGCTGTGTTGCTATTTGTTATTGAAGGAGAGTTTGCTATAGCTCCGAACTCCCACTGGACACCGAACAACCATTACTAAGGCCACACAAACGCAGATGCAAAATCAACGTAAGAACTTTGTCTTTATGCTACATAAAGAAGACAGAATCTTAAAGTAGCATCGACTCATTTGAAAACACTGGGATAAAAGACATTTTGCTATTCCTTGTTATGATTTCATAACATTGAATAAAAATGCAAGCGCCTTGAAAAGCTCTGAGACAAACGGATATGAAAGCGTAGTAACAACAAAACCCCAAACGAGGGCCGCTTCTGCGCCTCACCTTGCAGCCTCTGCATCACGTTGGCAATGTCCCGCGGAGACCGAGCGGCCGTCCTGGAGGCTGCCATGTCCCCGCTGCAGCATGAAACCCACGCAGAGACGCTTGGCTCCAGGCAGAGCAGGACTAGGCCGCCCCAGAAAACAACTTGAACTTCACTGGATCTATGGGGTCAGGATGCAACCCCACGCACGGGGGCAGCCAGCGCGGAAACAGCACTCCCAAAGGTGAAACCACTTCTTTTCCTTCCTCTTCAATAAACTCAGGAACCTGAAAAACACACAGAACAGGTACATTATTAAAAAAAAATCCACATAGGTCACCATAGTGCTCAAATAAGAACTATTTCTATTCAATTTGAAGAAATGATTCATTACCAAGTGAAATGACTAATGGGGAAATACTTATAAGGTACTAGGCAACTACTAGGAATTTTGATGATAGTTGATAAAACAAATCCCAGACATATGCAATCAAATTGGTAACTAAGAGGAGAAATGTTCGCTTTTAGTTCATGTTTTTAAAATATAAACTTTCTCCATTGGTCTATGAAAAGCGAAAGTTTAAAACACAGAGTTCCATTTCTCATTACCACAGGCTCTCTCACCTATGCTGTGTTAGCCTGCTTTGCACAGCTGATGTTGCTGTTTTGTTTGTACACTTCCCAGGAATGAGATCAAATCTTAGCTCCTAATAACACTTTGGTGAATTAAAACATAAATACACAACTATTTTATTCTAAAATTTTGAGTTTCAAATATCCTGACTTTAGGAGTCAAAATTGGTTCGATTTCATGTTATTTCTCTCCACACTGATTCTGGAGTAAGTTGTAAGGGTGAAGTAGGAGTGGTTAAGCAGAAAAGACATTTTCCTTCTAACTTCTTCCTAAAGTCTCTGCTTTGGTCCAGTTTAGCTCATAATTCTTCAGTGGGGGAGGGGGAAAGAGGTAGGAGAGTAGTTGCTAAAATCTTGAAATTGAGACATGTACTTGGAACAAGAATTTCTTAACCCTGGGGTTAGCTGAAGAGAAGGTTTTGCCACAGATAAAATCATTAATGACAGCAAAAGAGGAAAGTGGAAAATGTGCCCAGGGAAAGAAACTTAAGCAGGGGGCCAAACCAAAGGGGCCTGTGTGAGAGTCACACTTATTACAGTTCACATGCATCTCTGTGATATGATGATACTAGTAAAGGTGGAGAAGAGAAATGGGGAGCGGGGCAGGGGAGGATGCCAAAAACAAAACTGTAAAGAAAACACAGCACATGTATGTGGGATGGTCCACCTGTCAAAAGGAAAAATAAAAACATAAGAGGAGTCTATGAATGCTACCAAAAATTCTATTATCAACTGAATGTATATAAATAGCATTATTTGTGAAGGGTTGGTTTAGTAGAAGCATGTAAGTACAATGTACAACTGGCTGTGAGGTGTCATTATTAACACTAGTATATAATGGGTTCTGGTTAGAAAGCACAAATGCCAAGCTGATAGTAATCTTTTTTAAATTATTTTATTTTTTAATATATTTTTATTGATTTCAGAGAGGAAGGGAGAGGGAGAGAAATATAGAAACATCAATGATGAGAGAGAATCATTGATTGGCTGCCTCTTGCATGCCCCACATTGGGGGCCAAGCCCAAAACCTAGGCGTGTGTCCTGACCGGGAATCGAACTGTGACCTCCTAGTTCATAGGTTGATGCTCAACCACTGAGCCACACCAGCTGGGCAACAGTAATCTCTTTTAGATTACCATTTTGAAAAGGATGCAAAACATTGCACACTGCTACTGTCCCCACATGCAAAAGCATCTAAAATGTGGACTGGGGCAGGAAAGGGGCTCTGGTCACTTAGCAAGTTAGGGGACGGGGTGGCGCAGTGAATAGCTTTAGTTGATAAAAAGGCAGCGGCGGGCTTCTCGTGGCTACTTGAAAGGACATCCACTAGACGTAGACCCAATACTTGACAGCTTCTCGGCTAAAGGGGTGCTTCTCAGTGGGTGGCTCTCCGAGTGATTCTCAGAGGAGAAATGATTACTATGGCTGGCCTGTCATGCATCCAGGCCCACAGCCTGCGGTGACTGGGTACCCATTAGCAGCCTTCATCTCCTGGGGACAAATATTCCACCTGCCCGCATACACAAGCTACCTTAACCTGAAAACCAACAGGCAATGAGAAGTGCCTGAGGAATCTTACAAGGGCCTCTTCTAAGCTGTTAGAAAGTTAGGTTCTCCAAATGCAACACTGTAACTTTCTGAAATCTACCTATCTATCTTCTATCTATCTATCTATCTATCTATCTATCTATCTATCTATCTATCTATCATCTATCTTTCTATCTATCTATCTATCTATCTACATATACTGTATACTAAGTAGAGATGAGGAAAGAGATTCATTTTCATTCAGCTGCCCCACACCAAGCCATGCTCAGCACTGTAGTTCACAGATGATTAAGACATGGCCACCACCGTCAATCAAGAATTGTGAAATTAAAAGGATTTTTAAAAAGTCATTGCATTGCAGATCACTGTGTTCCTATCCTTGTATAGTTCACATTCATGTTACCCAATAGATTAATACTGAAATATGTATCTATCCTTCCCTCCATCCCTCTTTTGATACCACATAAAAGCCAGAATAGCTCTGCTGTGTCCACCTTCAGCTTATGCATCAGTCTTACTTCTACAGTGTGTCCTATTCCTCTTGGTACCTCCCTTCAGCATTATTTTCCCTCAATTGCTCCAATACTACCCATCTATACTATTATGCATATGATTTGTCTTATATTTTTCACCATTATTAGCCTTGGCTCACTCTAAGATCATTGCTAGCCTTATCTCACTCAAATTAGACCACGGACATTTTTAGGTATAGAGACTATAAGTCTTATTGCTTTGACATCTCACCTATTGATACCAAGTATATCTGTGAGCACATCGCCGTCCTCAATACTTATTTTTGTTTAATTAAATCAAGTTCATAATACTTCACCTCTATGAGCTAACCCCCAGAAAACCTTCCACCCCCTGCAAAAGGGGTTGATGCAATATCCTTCCTATTTTAGACACAAGATAAAATATTTTGCATGTGTACACATATTTCCTCTTTTGCAAAATTACGATACTCTTGTTTTTTACTGATACTTTAACTTCAGAGGACATATCATTTGATTTAAAAAGTTTAAGTGAGTAAAACAAAGATAATAAAAGGAGACTGGGAATTAGAAGCTATGAGTTCTAGGCTTAGTTTTGTTCCAAACAGTTGGGTGATTTGGAGCTGGTTCTGTGGACAGAGGCTCTCGACTACTGCCCGTCCCGGGGAGTGTGGTGCCAAGAAACGGGCTAAAAAGACGTGGAGCCGAGTCCGAATTCTGCCTCTTACTGTCCATGTGACCTTAGATAAGTGAACTTTTCTGAGCACTTGTTTCCTCATCTGTAAAAGGAAGTAATTTCATGCTAATAAGTTTGATTTCATCCTGCTAAATTAAATGTAAAATGTGTCTGGCATGTAGTAGGGTTTCAGTTCCGCACTGGCTCCCACCTTCTTTCCCCTGGCCTCCGTTTCTCCCCCTGCAATTTGAGTGAACACATGCTCTCAGGTGAGCTCTTCAGCCCCAAAGCCAATGGCGGCACCTGTGACAGCTAAAACCCCTGCTGGTACAAGGTCACAAGATCTTGAAGGTCACTCCTTGGACTGACTGATAACCTAGCAGTGGCTGTGGCCATGATCTCTGAACCAGAATGATGGGAAGATAACCGTGTCCAGGGTGATTAAAAGTTTTAATAGGCACAGGATATTGTGAGGGTGGGAGAGGGAGAAGGGGAGCAACCAGTATCAGGATGGAAAGGGAGAATTAGGTAGACATTGCTAAGCGGTGTACCAGTGAGCAGTCCCTGCACCATCTCCCAACCCTTCCAGCAGGAGGAGCTGAGAGGACAAGGGAGCTAAGTCCATCCTCCATACCTAGCAGAGAGGCAAGATTCCTGAATTTATTATTTCATTCAGGAAAAACAAATGTATTGAGAAACTATTTGACAATGGTACTAAGTAAACAGCAGTGAACAAGACAGATAAGCCTCTCTGAGAGCTTATGTACCAGAGGAGGAGATGATAAATCAACACTACAGCAAAGTAGAGTGAGTGTTGTAACGCAGAAACCCAGGGCTCTGTGGAAACAAGCTCAATGCCCAATCAATAGCCATCTGCTGTATTTATTGTGCAGGATGCGGAGGGATTTTAACTGCTGTTTGGAATTCTCCTTTCTGAGCAGCATGCTCTTCTGTCACCCACACCTGTGACAAGCACAGCAGCAAACCATCACGCCGGACCTTGCCAGTCTCTAAGCCAGCGGTCCTCAACCTTCTGGCCCTTTAAATACAGTTCCTCACGTGGTGACCCAACCATAAAATTATTTTAGTTGCTACTTCATCACTGTAACGTTGCTACTGTTATGAATCGTGATGTAAATATCTGCTATGCAGGATGACCTTAGGCGACCCCTGCGAAAGGGTCGTTCGACCGCCAAAGGGGTCGCGACCCACAGGTTGAGAACCGCTGCTCTAAGCAGAGTGGACAACTGCCTACTGAAGGGGTTTCTTGTTTGTACTCCTAAAAGAGAAGACACTAACTAGGAAAAAACACTAGAAGAAACACTTCGAGGCCACAGAAATACATCTTAAAGCGACGTAACTACAGGTTTAGGTGTGGAGAAACGGGAGCAGAAAATTCCGAACCCACAACAATCAGAGATGAGGTGGCTCATTTCTGACTGAAGAGGATGGAGTGACACCATAAAACATAAGCTGACGGACAGCACACTGCTGGGGTGTACATGCAGTACGGCTATTACTTAATCAGCTGCCTAAATATGCTCAAGAATAGCATCGCTATTAAAATCCACTTAAACAAAAATAGAAAAGCTAATGAATGCATCCCGACCTCCTTCTAGCTAAGTTCTTTGCTGGAATGAATCACATAAGTGTCTAATTTTAAATTTCGTTATTGATTTTCTCTTTCACCCTTTAGTAATGGTCTAATTAACAACAAAACTAAGGTGGCTAAATGGAATGAAGATAGCTAACGGGAAGAAGAGGCCCATCCCTGAGTTACCATAAATACACTGCTACCGTATGTGTGGGGGGTCAGTGAGTAGAACTGGTAATTACTCACTATGATGACATGTACAGGGTACCAAATAAGCATTGGTCCTTAGCCTGCAAGAGTAAAAATACAAGCAAGTCACCAAAAGACAAAGTATAGAGCCGACGGGCATGAAAGATACTGTCACGATTCAATTTCATTTTTATGAGCTTGGAGTATTATTAATCATGCCCAAACACATCAGCTACCTTTCTGTCCTACTTTGCTAGAGTATATACCGCACTCTTTGCCAAACATGAGCTCTTGCTGAATTAGTCCCTAAGGAAGGGTACAGGACTATACTACAGAGGAGGAGAAATGCAGATTTCCTCACCGGGGAGTCCTGGGTCCTGTGGCTGTCACCTTCAGGCCACAGGGTGTGGCGGTAGAATCTAGCGCGGGAACCACAGGAGAAAATGCTACCAACCTTGCCCAATCATGGGCTTGCCTCCTCTTTCCATGACACCTCCTCTCATTTCTAAGAAGCTGTTGCATAATTATCAGAGAGCAAGTCTTAGGTGTAGCACCCTACACATTTCACACAAGCAATTCTTGAACATTTTAAAATGGTAAACTACCCTTCCCCAATCCCTACGCCTTTGCAGAAAAGAATCAAGTGAGAAGAAGTCTTTTTATGGGCCCAGTGAGGACAGAAAGAAAGCAGTGGGGAAAAGCACCAGCTGAGAAAGACAATAATGAGACTACCACGTAGAAGCTACGCAAATGTTTTCAAAGGTTGGCAGTGTTATCGGAGTCACGCTGCCCCTTTATCTTCTGCATGAAACATACTAAGCTAGCCTTCATCGGCACATTTCATTCTGAATTTGCCACAAAGTAATACAGATTCAAAGACACAAGAAGAAGCAGACATGTTCTAGTCCACGGCGCTGGTGATGTCAGGGACTTTTTATCTATACTATTCATCTTTTTCACCGCGGGGAACAGCAAGCCTCTGAAAAAAGCCATCCTCATGACTCATGATTCAATCAGCATTTTACGCACATGTGGGTCGCAGGAATAACCTTTGCCTAATTGAGAATGATTACACTTTCTCTGGGGTAGATCTGGTTTCTGGTTACAAATGTTTTCTTTCGGCAAGTGGCTCCCAGATGAAGACAAACATAGCACTAAAGAAAAGAAAAAAAATAACAATTCACTTTGAACTTTCTTAACCTTCCCTGAAAAATGGCAGCTACAACCGTGGTTTCTACTCCAAACTGAGCAGCTCAGGCATGAACATTCCGGGACGGTAGGGCCGATTCCACAGCGGATGCTTCTGGCTGGGCTGGGCCTGAACCTGCAGCCTCCACGCTAGTATCCAGGCTGCACACCGAACCCGGTTCCCAAAGGGGTCCCTCTGCTTTGCAGCGGATGCTGTTTCCTGTGGCCTGGCCCCTGCCCCTCGCCGCCCGGGAGCACCCTTGCACAGGACTCCCCGGGCAGCAACGCACCACCTCGGTCTGAGACGCGTGTTCTGGAGGAAAGTTGTCTTGCCCTCTAGCGTGGGCTCTCCGTGGAGGCATCTGCTGGGTGACAGCCAAGGAGAGCCTGGAGCTGGGGCCTCCTTCAGGCTTCCAGCCCTCGGCTTTGCCGCCCGCCCCCTCCCTCAGCCCTTCCTTCCCAAAATAGTCCGGGCTGGAGGAAGGGAGGCTCCGAGAATGCGTCCAACGCCCCACACCTCCCACCGGAGAGGACGCAGTGCCAGCCATCACAAGGAGAGGGTGGCAGCCTTTTGCTTGGGCATCACTGGAGCCCAGAGAGGTGCCATAAGCGGAAATGACAAGCCAGAGAGGGGGCTCCGCAGAGGGGCAGCTGCGTACAAGATGCTGGGAACACGCTCCCCTCCTCGGGCCTCCCCACCCGGGAGCGCCGCACGCACACCCACGGCCCCCGCCTTCCCGAGCACGCACCGCCCGTGAAGCAAGTGCAAACTTGCTCGCAATTTGTCTGCCATCTCTCCGGCTCGCACCCAGCTATCAGCCCCTCTCCTTCCTCTTACCTTCTCTCTCCCGGGCTG